AAGAAGGAGCTCTTTTAACTCACCAGGGTGTGATGACCTCAGTGAGAGCATTGTTAGCACTCTGTAAAAAGCTATTTTTGAACCATGTTATTTAGAAGTCATTGCTGTTCTTTGTTGCAAAAGAAGTTTTGCAAGAAAATGGCCTTTGTTCCCCAGTGAGTTCATCTACAGTGGTTGGTAGGGCATGTAGGAGCTGATAGGTTTTTGGGAGGGAAGGGTAGTCCAAGCAGTGAGCACTACACAGAGCAAGGAGAGTGCATGCCCGAGAAGCCCTAACTGCAGCTGACTCAGCTGAATCCACCCTTTCTTTTAGCAGATGGTTAGGTTTCCTTACAGGCTTGGGGTGAAATCTTAAAAAGTAAGGCCCTGTCAAGATTTGGAAGAGATTTGTTATTGGCAGGCTGCGTGGCTGTCCTCCGTGTAGGTTTGTGTTTTCATGAATTTGTAACTGTCCTTCCATAGGAGAAACCTACACCTACGACTGGCAGCTGATTACTCATCCTAAAGACTACAGCGGAGAAATGGAAGGGAAACATTCCCAGGTCCTCAAACTATCCAAGGTGAACTTGCCTCCTTTCACTTGGGGGACTAAGGTGGAGAAGTAGATGTCTTCTAAGATATATCAGATAGAGTTTTCTGTCCACACGTGAGTTGGGAACGATCTTTTGCATGTGAATCCTCTGAAAGTCTGACTGGCTGACATCCAGTGTTTGTTAGTGTATGATTCTCAGATTTTCATTTATGGTGAGAAGACTATACCAGCATGGTAGCGATAGCCGAAAATATACACTAAACAGCTTTTAAGGGTAACATAAGGATGTTAGAATTTGGAGACAAACTAGGTTATTTGTGGCCACATGACTGTGTACATTGGCTCAGTCCTTCTGGAATTCAGCATAGCTATTAAGAGCCATGAAGATCTGTGCGTTCTTTGGCCTGGCAAGCTCATTCATTCACTTGACAGCTATTCACTGGCTGCTGGTTATAGCGCGGGCACTGGGAATTTACCAGTGAATCCATCATAATCCTGATAGTCAAGAGCAGTAGGGTCCGGTAGGTGATACAGCCGGGCAGCAGGGTCAGCGCAGTGGCTCATTGAAGCCCTGGGAAGTCAGCGTGGTTATATGAAAGGTACCTGACTTCCTGGGAAAGGCTGGAGGGGTAATACCCAGCAGAAGAAACAACTCATCCGGTTGAAAGACGAGAGAGAATGTGTGGGAGAGGGAACGATATGTGACTCCTCCTAACTGGACTCTGAGGGAAGAGAAGAGTGGCCCAGGTTGGAGGGAGGCAGGGGCCAGGTGGGGCAGAGCCTTGCACACCGGATTAGGACTTTGAATCTGTCCAGAGGGAAGTGGGAGCCTTTGAAAATTCTAAACAGGAAAAAGGCATATTCAGATTTTCAGTTTAGAATTTCACCCTGACTGTAGGCCAGAGGAGATAGACCAAGGCGCTGTCTACGGAAAGACTTCAATGCAGAATGACAGTAACCTGAGTAAAAAATGTAAACAAGTGAAATCAAAGTTCAAAGCCAGGGGCGAGCGGGTGGTATGGAGGTTAAGGCAGCCAATCTCACCTGGAAGGCCATGCAGTTTTAGCCTCAGACCCGGCAACTTGTAAAACTCATGGGGTGTGTGCACGGATGCCCATGATCCTGATGGGACGAAGAGATGGAAAAAGAAGGAATGTGGGTGGGTGTGCTTCCTTCTCTCTCTCTGGTGGGCACGTGAACCCTCTGACAAAAAAAAAAAAAAAGGAAAAAAAAAAAGCCAAGAAAGGGAAGCAGTACAAGGAGGGAGGGGTCAGAAGAGCTGTTTGAGGGACTAGCAGTTGGCGTAATGGCTATGTCGCTGGGCTCCCATGTTGTCAACTGCAGTTTGAGTCCCGGACTCGGTGGCTTAAACTCACGCCGGGCGCGTGTGCATGCGTGCCCAAGGTCCCGAGAGGAGAATGGAGGAGAAGGGATTGCAGTGTGGCCATCCCCCTGCGGGGTGATTTCTCGCTTTCTGTCTCTCTGTCTCTCTCTGTCTGTCTGGCAAGTGCATGCGCCCTATAGCCAAAACCTCTAAAAAAAAATAAAAGAAGAGCTGTTTGAGGCCAATCAGTATTCCCCAGAGATCATCAAAGAGAGGGAAGGCCCCGTTTCCCTGGCAGACGTTCGTGACCCTATCAGTCACGGCAGTAACACGTGGGAATGCTTGTGTGTACAGTGACACGCTTATTCGCTGCTACCCTGCAGTCACTGAAAGGAGCAGTACAGAGACTGACAGGTGGGGAACGTGTCCATGCTAAACAGCGGAAGAAAGCCACCCCAAGCCCGGTCCCTTGAGTTAGCGGCTGGGTGTGAGGGGCTTCATCTGAACCATCTCCAGATTGCAGGCCTGGGACAGTGGCCTCCACATAACTGGTTCTCGGCGAAGGCTTGTTGGGTGAAGGACTGTAGCAAACTCTTCTCCTGTGCAGTCGAGGTTTGGGATCATGAGATGGTGGGTGATTTTATTGTTTTGGTTTTTTTTCTTCTATTATGTTTATAGAGCTAGTAGGAATCAGGAGGGAAGAATATTCAGATATTTGAGGATAATATGGTATTTTTACGAAATATTTTTCTTTGAAGATGATTACTTTTATAGCTCAGAAATAGGATGGTTGGGCCCTTAATGTTCTTCTGAGGAGAAAATGGGAGTGCAGAGATATTGAAATCCCTTTAGTTGTTCTGGAGTCAGCTGGTAACAAGATTCCCATGCAAAGCTGTGGCCTTTTTAGTGCATTTCGTTGTTTGATGTCCTCAGCTACTTTCCTGGCCTGTCTGAAGACCCCGTGGGAAATGCTGTGGTGTCTGGGACAAGGCCGGGAGCGAGCGCACGCTCGTCCTGGAAAGCTCAGGAACACGTGTTGTCTTAGACGTGTTACCGCCCTTCGTAGTTGTCTACAGGATGTTCTCTCACTTCTGCAGCTCACTCCAGGACTGTACGAATTCAAAGTGATCGTAGAGGGTCAGAATGCCCATGGGGAAGGCTACGTGAACGTGACAGTGAAGCCAGGTATGTGCTTCCAGCCCCGGCTGTTTCCATCGCTTCCTCTGCAGGACTCCGAGGACACAGAGATTGGGCTTAGGGGTTTGTTTTTGGTCTTGCTTATTTTTGTTGTTGTTACAGGGGGTGTGTGCTCAGCAGGGGCGGGCCGTGAGAAATCATCACAGGGATGGCCACACTGCAGTTCTGTCTCCGTTCTCCCCTTGGGGATTTGGGCACACATGTACATGTGCCTGGTGCCGTTTTCAAGCTACCAGATCTGGGACTTGAACCACTCAGTAGGTCATGTGGGATCCAGCGCCTTAACCTCCACTCTACCTGCTAGCCCAGACTTGAGGGTTTTTATACCTTCTTTTTTGTCATGGGGATTTGGAAGAGGTTAGAGTAGTAGAGTTCGTACTTTCGTAACACTGCGGGGAGGGGCAACATGTCATACGGCCCAGCACGGGCCCTGTCTACTGGAGAATGGCCCTTCCCAATGGGCCATGCAGGGAAGGATTGCATTTTGTAGTTAAGAGACACAAGGAAAGCAGGAGTCGAGGAGAAGGATGCAGGAGGACCAGCCAAGCACCAGCTCCTTCTGCTCTTTCTCTGGAGATGTGGGCCTTTGCATATGGAGTCCCTCTTTTTTTATGGAGAGGTTTTTGCTTTAGGGCTCATCAGAAAGTCAGAGAGAGAGAGACAGAAAGCGAGAAATCACTCCCCTCCTCCCCGGGGTTATGTTTATAGAGCTAGTAGGAATCAGGAGGGAAGAATATTCAGATATTTGAGGATAATATGGTATTTTTACGAAATATTTTTCTTTGAAGATGATTACTTTTATAGCTCAGAAATAGGATGGTTGGGCCCTTAATGTTCTTCTGAGGAGAAAATGGGAGTGCAGAGATATTGAAATCCCTTTAGTTGTTCTGGAGTCAGCTGGTAACAAGATTCCCATGCAAAGCTGTGGCCTTTTTAGTGCATTTCGTTGTTTGATGTCCTCAGCTACTTTCCTGGCCTGTCTGAAGACCCCGTGGGAAATGCTGTGGTGTCTGGGACAAGGCCGGGAGCGAGCGCACGCTCGTCCTGGAAAGCTCAGGAACACGTGTTGTCTTAGACGTGTTACCGCCCTTCGTAGTTGTCTACAGGATGTTCTCTCACTTCTGCAGCTCACTCCAGGACTGTACGAATTCAAAGTGATCGTAGAGGGTCAGAATGCCCATGGGGAAGGCTACGTGAACGTGACAGTGAAGCCAGGTATGTGCTTCCAGCCCCGGCTGTTTCCATCGCTTCCTCTGCAGGACTCCGAGGACACAGAGATTGGGCTTAGGGGTTTGTTTTTGGTCTTGCTTATTTTTGTTGTTGTTACAGGGGGTGTGTGCTCAGCAGGGGCGGGCCGTGAGAAATCATCACAGGGATGGCCACACTGCAGTTCTGTCTCCGTTCTCCCCTTGGGGATTTGGGCACACATGTACATGTGCCTGGTGCCGTTTTCAAGCTACCAGATCTGGGACTTGAACCACTCAGTAGGTCATGTGGGATCCAGCGCCTTAACCTCCACTCTACCTGCTAGCCCAGACTTGAGGGTTTTTATACCTTCTTTTTTGTCATGGGGATTTGGAAGAGGTTAGAGTAGTAGAGTTCGTACTTTCGTAACACTGCGGGGAGGGGCAACATGTCATACGGCCCAGCACGGGCCCTGTCTACTGGAGAATGGCCCTTCCCAATGGGCCATGCAGGGAAGGATTGCATTTTGTAGTTAAGAGACACAAGGAAAGCAGGAGTCGAGGAGAAGGATGCAGGAGGACCAGCCAAGCACCAGCTCCTTCTGCTCTTTCTCTGGAGATGTGGGCCTTTGCATACGGAGTCCCTCTTTTTTTATGGAGAGGTTTTTGCTTTAGGGCTCATCAGAAAGTCAGAGAGAGAGAGACAGAAAGCGAGAAATCACTCCCCTCCTCCCCGGGGGGGATGGCCACGCCACAATCCCTTCTCCTCCATTCTCCTCTCGGGATCCTGGGCATGCACATGCACCCAGCATGAGTTTAAGCCACTGGGTCCAGGACTCGAAATGCAGTCGACTACATGGGAGTCCAGCGACATCGCCATTACGTTAATTGCTGGTCCTGGAGTTCTTCATTTTAACCCTACCAGTCTCTTTCTCCATGGAAACCAAGTCCTGTCATTCTTTTTAAACGAGTCCACTGTCTGTATATCACAGACAATAGCAAGATCCAATTTCGCCTTGTCAGAGAAATTTGGGAGAAGGTGGAGATGGCATGTATGCTGACACACACACTCTCTCTTTTTTTAAAAAAAACTCTCTTGTTTAATTGCCAGAGGATGTGTGTGCTTACTAGAGACACAGAGTGAGGGAGAAAGCAGCCCTCCAATGGGGTGTGGTTGCGTCACAATCCCTTCTCTCTCTCTCTTTTTTTTTTTTTTTTTTGG